AAAGCATCAGTTAACCCCTGCTGTGGTAACACAAGTTCAATATACCCGTCATCAGGCTACCTGTTACATCAGGCAAAGCGTCAATTAACCCCAGTAGTGGTAACACAAGTACAATATACCATCATCAGGCTACCTGTTACATCAGGCAAAGCGTCAATTAACCACAGTAGTGGTAACACAAGTACAATATACCGTCATCAGGCTACCTGTTACATCAGGCAAAGCGTCAATTAACCCCAGTAGTGGTAACACAAGTACAATATACCCGTCATCAGGCAAAGCGTCAATTAACCCCTGCTGTGGTAACACAAGTACAATATACCAGTTAGCTGGCTACCCATAACATCAGGCAAAGCGTCAGTTAACCCCAGTAGTGGTAACATCAGGCAAAGCGTCAGTTAACCCCTGCTGTGGTAACACAAGTTCAATATACCCGTCATCAGGCTACCTGTTACATCAGGCAAAGCGTCAGTTAACCCCTGCTGTGGTAACACAAGTTCAATATACCTGTCATCAGGCTACCTGTTACATCAGGCAAAGCTTAACCCCTGCTGTGGTAACACAAGTTCAATATACCCGCATCAGGCTACCTGTTACAGTTAAAGTGTCAGTTAACCCCTGCTGTGGTAACACAAGTTCAATATACCCGCCATCAGGCTACCTGTTACATCAGGCAAAGCAATTAACCCCTGCTGTGGTAACACAAGTTCAATATACCACCAGTCATCCCTACCTGTTACATCAGGCAAAGCGTCAGTTAACCCCTGCTGTGGTAACACAAGTTCAATATACAAAGCGTCATCAGGCTTCAATATACCTGTCATCAGGCTACCTGTTACATCAGGCAAAGCGTCAGTTAACCCCTGCTGTGGTAACACAAGTTCAATATACCCGTCATCAGGCTACCTGTTACATCAGGCAAAGTGTCAATTAACCCCACAAGTTCAATATACCTGTCATCAGGCTACCTGTTACATCAGGCAAAGTGTCAGTTAACCCCGGTAGTGGTAACACAAGTTCAATATACCTGTCATCAGGCTACCTGTTACATCAGGCAAAGCGTCAATTAACCCCAGTAGTGGTAACACAAGTTCAATATACCTGTCATCAGGCTACCTATTACATCAGGCAAAGCGTANCAGTTAACCCCTGTAGTGGTAACACAAGTTCAATATACCTGTCATCAGGCTACCTGTTACATCAGGCAAAGTCCAGTTAACCCCACAAGTTCAATATACCTGTCATCAGGCTACCTGTTACATCAGGCAAAGTGTCAGTTAACCCCAGGTAGTGGTAACACAAGTTCAACATACCTCCAGCTAGGTAGAGTCATTCTCTCCCAGCCCTATAACTGTACCATTCAACAACGCACCTGCTAAACAGGCCCAAGTTAGTAAAACAAACCTGTCTATTGTAGGTGTGGTGTATGTACTGCAGTGTTTGAAATTAAGCAAGGCAGTAGGTCCTTGTAATAATCCCAAGGTTAAAAGCTTTAGAGTGAAGCTTCCCTTCCCTTCGATTCAATACATTCACAGCCCCTCTGGCCCCGAATTTCAAACACTGTACAAGGGGAAGAAAACAATGGTAAAATCTGCTTCACAAGTTCAGTTGTTACCTGGGTAGACGGCACCAGTTTATTCCGAGGGACAATTTATATCAGACATGTGAATGATAAAACATCACTTCAGTTCGGACACAACCACAAATTTGTGTATCAGGAATCTTAGCCATGAAGACAACGGGTAACCATGTCTGGCGCTGACCATGTTTTGAGAAAATGGTTACAAAGCAGAGCTTGTCACAATGATACCAAATTTACCTCACTGTTGCCATTTTTACCACAGAATTTGGGATTCAATTTAACCTGAAATCCTTCACAAGTCTGATGAAGAATAGTGACAACATCATAAAGGACACATCATAAAACTGTCTGAAATTTCAGTAGCCCTTGAGAACACAAACTCACAACTCTCGTGTTGTGGGCTAGAGTCAATTTATATTTGTGTCAAAATACAAAGCTTAGTTTATATTTCTCATATTTATTTCTTATACTTCCTGTTGTATATGGCAAAATGAAAGAACTTATTTTGCAGTATTTTACCATTTTTTTAACCTGGTCTGTTGCTGAGCTTGAGGACGTCCTACCCCAGGCCACAGTTGAGTCAGGAAGCCAGTGTGTGGACTTACCTTGTGATGCCAGGAACCACGCCCCCATCATCGCTGTACTGTGGCACTGGGTGTGTCAACATGGCAAGTGACAAGATGGATACAATTTCTAATCAACTCAAGAACCATACATCAGGTGAATTACCAGTCAATATTTAAAGACAAAAAGTATATATAATCGAAATATTTCTTTTCAATTTCAAGAATTAGACAGCTGTATTTCTTATCAATCTTGTCACTTATGAGAAATGTGCATATGTTTCAGAAACATTCAACAGTGGCTTTCCTATATTTTCTTAAGAATAAACATAGCAACATAATGAAGTGTACAAGTTAGCATCTGGATGTCTAACACTAACAGTGCTTGATCATTCATGTCACTCAGCAATAAATAAAATATTTGTCAAACCAGATTTCAGTTTAACTTGGTAATGAACAAACTGACAATGGCAAATGGTGTTGGCTATTAAAGAATTCAAAATACTTGTGTCTTTTTAATAAACAGTTACACACATCTCATACTGTATGAAAGTGAAACTAATGCTGATGAGAAAACATGTCATGAAGCTTTTTGAGATTATCAAATGATCAAACACTGGTAATCAGAATTGCTGGTTATTTCCAACTGTTCTCAGCTTAATGAAAACATTGACGTTGTGTTTACCATGGAATAATTATGAAAACATTGATGTTGTGTTTACCATGGAATAATAATGAAAACATTGACGTTGTGTTTACCATGGAATAATAATGAAAACATTGATGTTGTGTTTACCATGGAATAATAATGAAAACATTGACGTTGTGTTTACCATGGAATAATAATGAAAACATTGACGTTGTGTTTACCATGGAATAATAATGAAAACATTGACGTTGTGTTTACCATGGAATAATAATGAAAACATTGACGTTGTGTTTACCATGGAATAATAATGAAAACATTAACGTTGTGTTTACCATGGAATAATAATGAAAACATTAACGTTGTGTTTACCATGGCATAATAATGAAAACTAATCAGTTTATGTCGCAGTCCCTTGGATGTTTTTGAAGGAACATCGTCAATAGTGACTCATCCCAAATGTGATACCGAGAGTTTTCAATGTCCATTTCATCAAATATGCAGGAATATTTTATCATGTGAAACTGTACACCTCTTTACATTACATAACAGACAGCTGCCTACAGATGAGGGCGATTACATGTGCTCCCTTGTGTCTTAACTGATGAAAATTTCAAATATATATTACTTACAGCTGAACCAAATGATCATGCTTCATATAAATTGTCCACAGTTAACATGGCTAAAGCAGAAAGACCTTGAACAGATTAGTTTAGCATGTGAATAAAAACATTTCTCCAGCCTTTGAAAAAGATGGATAGTTGTCCAGTAATATATTTATTGTGACTTAAGACTGATATTCTGAAATTCAAACTGAATGCTTTTCCACAGTTTTGTTTAATCCATTAGTCAGTGATTGTGATAGCAGAACATAATGTCCATTACATGATGGACACTTTCAAGATGACTATGCAGGGATTTACCTAGAGTCCTGTATTTGAGGGTCCCTGGGACTCATACTCTTAATTTTCAGGGGTCCTGGACTACAAAACGGGGGTCCCAGACACTTAAATATTATCATTAATACTACGTTGTAATATTGTTGTAATTCAGTTACTGTTATGGTATTGTGTATCATGATCATCACATTGTTACAGTAATTAAATTGCAAATGATACCATAACCCGGGTAGTAGCAGACTCAGTGATCATAACTTATTGTTACTTGATCAACATTTAAAAAAAAAGTATTTGGACTTTTTCTTCGTCTCCCCTGGACGCTCTAATCAATTTTGCTGCATCCGTTGTCAATTTTTATGTGTATAGGAATTAGAGTCCTGTAAATCCCTGACTATGTTATCCTTATCTGTTCATAACAATGTGACATGAGCTTATACTCTCTTCAACTGAAAATTGTCAATACTTTAGAACTTTGGTTTTCACTTCTGTCCTTCACCTACCATCAATACATATGGCTGCATTGTTGAGATGTAGACATTTATAACCACTATAAGCTACCGCATGAAGGAGTGACTTGGATTTTACCTCACAGTGAGCAATATTCCAGCAATATCACAGTGAGAGAGAACAGAAATGGGGGTAAGAGTTCCGCCCGTAACCCCCCGCTTGAAATGTATTCTATTTATTAGGATTATTTCGAGGGTTTAGGGTTAGGTTTGGGGTTAGATTTTAGGGTTAGGGTTTAGGTTTAGGTACAGGCTGTTTATAAAAAACCATAGTCGTATATTCTTAGGCATATAATGATTAAAAATATACGGGGGTTACAGGCGGAAATCTTTCCGAAATGGGCTTCACAATTGTACTATTTGGGGAATCAAACTGGGCCTTTCGTGTGGCGACCTAACGCTTTAACCACAAATTATTTTTGTGTTGCAATGCCAGTTTATAATGCAAAACAAGTATATCATGTATATATGTGGTTACAAATATTTCACAAACGCAGTTGTAACCTGTTTGATGTGTTTGGGTGTATGTGTATAGATAGACCCAAAATGTTAATGTCATGTGTTCATTCTACATTCATCGTTCGTTTTACTGCTAAATATTGTGTGACTATGAATGATGCAAGTTGTCTTTCCTGTCCACTGGTCTGTTGTGAATGACTTCAAACCTAGGTTTACCCTTCTGAGCCGAGACAGCAGAACAGTCAAATACTGACTTCCTTGCATTATCCTCTGCTACATATTCCACACAGAAATTGGAAATAACCAGCAATTCCCACAAAGAAAGATGTAGAATATGATAATTACCATCATTTCCGAAATCAGCGCGCTGTTATCATTGTCTTCCCCATAATCATCATCTTCTTGTTGGTACACTACATAGTCGTCTATATTTTGGTCACCATGATGATCTCCTTGGCTTGTACTGGGTTCGGCATAATCTGGCACATGTGGAACGTTTTGATGGAAGGATGAGGACGAAGATGCTGATGATTGAGAATGTGATGATTGTGGATGAGAGAGTCTATCTAATGCTGCTTGTGTATTATGTCTCCTGTCTATACTTTGATTAGATTCATCTCCATATTGTTCAGAATCAGGTTCAATTTCTATTAAATCTGGTTCCAGTTTCACACTCACAGTTTCACTCATTGATTTTGATTGCAATGGGTCAGGTGATGGAAGAGGAATGTTTTGATGTTTTGTCTCTTGGAAAGAACTTCGGCTGGTCTTGGATGGAGGGGATTTCATTGGTGATGGACGATCTCGAGATCTCTTGGCAGGTATAACATGAGGAGCTGAATAAATGGGCTGTGAAACCATATGAGTAACTTGTTCATATTCTGCCCCAGACAATGAACAGTCCACATCGAATACAGACAATTTCAATGTCTTGCATTCACTCTTTGAGATCATACTCGAATTTGACGACACACCGTCCACTTTGAAAGTCAATTTGTTTGATCTTAGAGCTACCTGAATGTTGGCATCTTGTGTTGTGCCATACGAATTCACAGACGCCGGGAATTCTAAATTAGATCGTGGACCCCTTTTCAAAGTGGAAAATAGGTCACACAAATCTATCGGGATTGTGAACTCAAGCGTTTCGATGAACATTTTGATTGCTCAAAGTTTATAACACCGTGTCTAGTAAACTCGCTTGCGCACACTCACAGTGAATCTGCTGCGTTGTTCTACCGTTTACGTGAAATCTTCGTAAATAAAAAGACGAGTTCCGACATATCCCACGCTAACCCTTTCTTGTCGTATTTCCGGTGCACATCTGTGTCATTTCATCACATGAAAACACGGTGCTGTGTGCATTCGCTGTTGCTACAAACCCCAACGTACATTAAACGGTGTCTCAACAGATTGTTTAACGATAAAAATATTTGCAAATAATGAGGTGGTTCACCGGTAATTTCAGGATTTGGGCACACTCCTTACTCAATTTTCATGTCGGCGCAATTAACATTGGAGCTCTACTACACTGTTTTGTTAGCGAGGATCAATGAGTAGGATGCAAAACCGACAGAGTGAGGAGTCTAAGGCTAATCAGGCATCTGCTATTTTCTTGACAACTGATTTCATTACTTTATCCTCCGGGGAAGAACGTCTGCCGGCAAAATAAATGAGCCTCACAACTAAAAATAAGGGATTTACCTGACGCGAAATTATGCATCGTACACGCATGAAAATTCAAAACCTACCCAGACTATTGCTATTTCATAATTTGACCACTCTATTATATGGTCTCTGCTAGTACCCCCATCTTGTAAATCTGAGCCTTCAGTCAAGCACCACAACAATTAACAAAGAAATGACAACATTAAATTTGCTTTCAAAATAACCTCTTTCATTAGCAAATTCACCCCAAACTACTTCCGAAATGTACAGATGCTAATGATTTCCACATTACCTACATTTGCACCAGTAAAGGTTGATTATATACATAAATTAAAAATTGTTTATCTTTTTTATATCTTTGTTATAATTGATAATTTAAGAATATTTATTCATCAAATGCCTTGTGATTTTAATGTAAAATATTGTTATGTGTCGTCTCATGTGTCATTCACATTGTACATGCTTCCCCATAAAAGTCATCATCATCCCCCTTACCAATAAATTATGAACCCTCACTTAGGGCCACAGTCTCAATGTTTTCTCAACGATGTACATAATACTTTCATCTAAGTAGAAGATACTAACATCTACATAGAAAATACTTCTATCTCCATATATGATATTATAATCATTACTGAGACCCTGATGTTGTCTTGTAATGACTCTAGTCAGATATAAATATGAAATTATTATTACATACTGATTATCCGACCGGCTGTGTTGATTATCGGATTAACGATTGTTTTTACAATGTATTTACAATAATCAGTTGCTAGATTTGTGTGTCGGAGTCGGAATGCGAGAATGTCGGATTAACGAGAGTAATTATCACTGTTTTAAATGGTTCCCTAATTTGTTGTCGGATTAACGTGATTGTCGGATTAATGAGTGTCAGATTAACGAGAGTTAACTGTATTATTATTAAGTTATTATGTTTTACAGATTAAAGATAGTGTGCAACAGAGAGGATTCAGGTGATCCTGGCACAGTCAGGCTGGTAAGGCTCAGGGCCCTTTCCCCCTCTACACGCAGCCCAGACAGCGAATGGGACTTCTCCCAGGAAACGCTGCCTGGTCAAACCCACCAAGAACTTTCTGGAGAATATGAAGACTCCCCAACACTACAGCCTTCTGCATTACCCAGAGCGTCAGAAGGGCTGTACTCCAGGTGGAGAACCCAGGCACTCTCCTGATCTGCGCCAAGAGATCAGGAGGTACCAAACCAAGGGCACCGAGAACAATGGGGAGCCTGACGACAGTGTACTTGGGATGCAAGCGAGACATTTTAAAGGTGAGGTCCACATATTTAGAATGCTTTTCCTGAATCTTGCCAATCTCGTTGTTGTCAAAAGGGACAGAAAATTCAATGATAGAAATTAATTCATTGGCTTTATCTAATAGGAGAAGATCCGGTTTGTTGGCAGGAATTCTTCTGATGCTGTATATGGGCCTATTCCACAGAAGTTTGAAAGCATCATTTTCCATGACGCCCTGGACAGGTTGAGGGTCGTACCATGGAAGGACCTCAGAGTCAAAGCCACAGGCATGTCAGAGACGGTAGTAAAAGCAACGAGCCATGCCATCATGTCGTTTAAGATATGCTGTTTGTGTCAAAGACGGGCATCCACTGACAAGGTGTTGGACAGTCTCTGCAAATTCATTGCACAATTGACATTTCTTGCAAATATTTTCTTTTAGAATCACATTTTGGCGATTGAGAGTGGGAAGTGACTGGTCTTGAGCAGCAAAAAGAAAGCCCTCAGTTTCACATTTAAGACCAGCCGACTTCATTTAGGCGAAGGAGTCGTTTTGATTATTGTTCTGTTCCACACACTGCTTGAAGACACGATGCAAAAAAAATAGTTTTTCAAAAAGCTTCTCCATAAATGACTGACTCTGGGCAGACTTGGTGAAGGACTTCACCTGGTTTACTCCCATCGCTGTACCATCCAGCAGTACATCGCCATCAACAAAATCAACCTCAAATTTCAGATTGTGTCCAACAACCTTAGCACGCTTAAAATAACTGTGGAATTCCTTGCTTTCATCATGAGTCTTGACATGCATCACCAGAGGATCATTTAATAAATAGATATGTGCAAAAGTACACAATTGGAAATTTTACTATAAATTGTATAGCAGTCTAGACTACCAGTTGTCCAACTTCCATTTTTGTGGAAGCCGCGGTGGCTGAGCGGTCTAGGCATCTGACTTTGCGTGCTGGCAAAAAGTACTAGAATCTGTACTTTACAAAGAAAGTGAAATCCCAAATATAACATATGTTACATTTGACCACTTTCTAAAATGACATTGTGTATTTCATGATAATGATGACATCGAGATCTTTTATTAATGTACAGAAAGCAAAACCGACACGCGGAAGGACTGCTTTTCATCTGCGAGCATGGGTTGATGACAGCTGCTGAGCTAGGACCAGAGGACCGAACTGGTGTAGGCCCTCCCCGTCCATGACCGAGAGATCCCGAAGATAGTGTGAGGCGAAAAATGTATCCGACTTCCAAAAACATCACTCCATGATTGCCTGGAGGGAACAGTTTCTATGAAGCACTATGGTGGAAGCCAGGGCCCGTGTTTCATGAGGATTCGCTGTCGAAGGTGGAGGAAGGTCGGCAGAGGCATAGGCATGCAGGATAGTGGATATCAACCAAAACGCCAAAGTGGTGTGCGAGACTTCCGAGGTGGAGGCAGCAGACAACGGGATGAAAAGTCTCTTGCGCAACCTGCGTCGGTCCTTAGAGGCAGCTAAGTAGATCTTCAATGCCCGAACTGGGCACAAGGAAAGATCTTCCGTGTCATCAGGACCCAAGATAGTGGACAGCGGTGGAATCGTGAATGTGCGGTCCAACTGTCCTGGTAGTTGGTTCTTGGCGACGAAATCCCACCGCAAACCAAGAAAGACTTTAGCATGTCTTGACCTCTCAAACCGCACTGTAACTCGGAAATGCGGGCAGCAGTGGCCAAAACCAAGAGGAAGAAGGTCTTAAAAGTGATCTGCTCAAAGTCTTTCCCTCCAAGGGTTCGTAAGTCGCTGACGTAAGATGATTCAGCACAACGGAAAGGTCCCAAGATGGTGGCTGGAACTTCCAGGATTGGTCAGCAAGTCTATAAGATCTAAGGAGAGACTGGAGCTCAGGAACAGTCGACACCTTCACACCTGTGGTTGGTGCAATAACGGTGTTAAGAGTAGACAATGAAGAACCCTTAAGCTTCCTTGAGGTTCGAAGATGTTGGAGGTACTCCGCCACCAACTGCGGTGAAACAGTAGTGGGAGAAGCTATACCTCTGGCCCTGAAGTACGCCTCAAAGTTCTTCCACTTGTCATCATAGAGTGACCTAGTAGAGGAGCGATGCGCTGTAGTGATGGCAGTAGCGACACGCTTAGAATATCCGTTTGCAGTTAGCGACTTATGGAGATGCGTCAAACATGAAGATGAAGTGTGAGCGAAGACCAATGCAGCTGATCGGAGTGCAGATGCACCAGAAGATTGACGTGTTCGGGAAGTGGTACAGGATCTGGATCGTCCAGTTCTTGTAGATTGACGAACCACCCTCTGGCCGGCCAATAGGGCGCGACCAAAAGCAGTGTCATCCGCTGAGTCGTGCGTAGTTTCAGTAGTATGCATGGAAGTAGGGCCACTGGTGGAAACGCGTACGCGTAGGTCGTCCCAAGGAATGGCTAGAGCGTCAAGACCCCAGGCCAGAGGGTCTGGAATCGGAGACACGAACAGAGGCAACTGGTGGTTGAAAGGAGTGGCTAACAGATCCACTGTCGGAATCATCAACGGAAAGCAGATGGTCTGGAACACCTGTGGATGTAGTTTCCACTGTCGGAGAGGGACGAAGTGGCCGGGACAGAGAATCCGCAATCACGTTCTTCACTCCTGGAATATGATTGGCTCGAACGGAGATGTCAAGATTGTCCACCAGGTCGAAGAACTGTTGTGTCCACTGCAGGAGTTGAGGAGACCCTGTTGACCCCATCCAGTTGATGTGCCACACTATCGCTGCATTGTCCGACCAGACCATGAGAGAGGTCGATCGTAGAATCTCTTGCCAGTGAGTGATGGAAAAAATCACTGCCCTGAGCTCTAGAATGTTGATGTGGTAAGCGCGATATGCGAGAGACCACCGCCCTGCCACCTGCTGATCGAGAAGGTGAGCCCCCACCCGTGTAGAGATGCGTCCACGTACAGGTGGTGAGTTGCGACGAATGGCCTTAAGCAGACTCCGCCGCAGACGTTCAACTCTTCCATCCACCAGAGGAGATGGGGATACTGTTTCCCTCAGTATATGCTGTGCAGAACTTCATCTCTTGGGCTTACCTGGAACCTGTGATTGTGGTTTGGTTTTAGGTTTGTCAACAACATACAGGTAGGTTTTACCAGTGTGTTGACCTACATCGTGTCAAGCTTCCCTCCCATGATGAGCTACAGGCAGTTATGTAACTGTAATATTTTTCAAGGCTGCGTCAGGAAATGAACACATTTTACAGAAAAAAAAGTTCATAAGGCCAGACCAATTTTATTTTTTGTTTTACAGATTTTTGTACTCAGAAAACCTAAAGGCAGGAGGCAAAAAAAATAAAGGAAAAAATCACCAGTCAAAGCAAAACCCACATGAGTTTTTCAAAGGCATTGTTTTTCAAGTTCACACTCGCTGAGGTGCTCGAAGCACTGATTTCTAATACAAATATTGTTAGATAATTCAGTTTAAAGTCTCTGAGAACAGTGTGTCCAACAAACTGCCTTGTGTAGTCGAAGTCTCGTTCCTGTATATCTAAACATTATTAGTTTATTTTTCGAGTGGGGACATTTTAAAAAAAAAAATTTTCTTATTGTTGAAAAGATACGACCAGCGGATCCGTAAGACAAGAATTAAAATTTGTCTGGCCTCAACCAAGTCACTGAATCTGACCAACCTGTCCCTGATTGAGGCTGCTGTAGATCAAGAGGGCGATTGTAGGGCACAATGGTGCTGTGATAAGGCGTGTGCCTATCATGCTGAAGGCCCAGGTTTGATCCCCGGTGGAGGAACCTAGGTTCGGGACCCGAGGTGGGCACATTTGCATAGTATCCTTGAACAAGATACTTAGATCCACATTGTCTCAGTTCACCCAGCTGTACCCGTGGTACCCGTGAGGATGTGCTGGCAATGTGAGTGTTAGTTCATTGCGCCTAACAGGCAGCATGGCTGTATGATCCCCAGGGAGTTGAAAAAGTATCGGAAAGTATGATGGTGTACCATGACCGGGGATAGTGATGTACGTAGCGCCGTGAGCAGGCAATGTGCCTGGATATGAGCGCCATATAAGCGGACTATTACTATTACTATTACTAAAAGTGTTTTGCTGCACTGCATCCATGCTAATAATCATACTGAATAATAGGAAGTTGGCATATATGCTAGTGGTGGTCCAATTAATTGAAATAATCGAAGATTGGTCGCAATGACAAAATGACCAAGCAATCGATCATGTTTTCTCATAATCGAACACAAACAATTTTGGACCACTTGTTTGCAATAACAATATTTTTCAAAAGGTTGATTTTGTCTCTACATTGCATAAGCACTACAAGCTCGTTCCAAGTCATGATTAAATTTATCTTAACAACTCCAGGAAATGTATGTTCCTAACACACTAGTCATCCTTTAAAGATGTGAAATACTTGATTTTTTGTGCATTAACAAACATAACCAGGACAATTTGATAAATGATGCTAACCAATTATTTTCGATGATTGATCGGTTGTAATGAACCAATCATCAATTATGAGATTTACACCAATTCCCAACAGTAATATATACCTTAACCTTATTTTGAAATTGTTCAAATCAGGTCTCTTTGAGCTCATCACACAATAATACTTCCTCTCAGCCATAAAGCACAACACAACAGCATCTAAATGTATGTTTATTTGATATCGGTCCAGTGATCACTCAGAATTACTTGTTACAATCTGTATCAAGCTAAAATTATCAATGTCATAGATTTTCACAAGTTCCCTTCATACTACAGATGAAACTGTATGAGTGTCAGGCATGAGTACTGTAAGCACCTGGTGTTCTGACTTCATCTCAGACTGTCAAATGTACTGTAAGCACCTGGTGTTCTGACTTCATCTCAGACTGTCAAATGTACTGTAAGCACATGGTGTTCTGACTTCATCTCAGACTGTCAAATGTACTGTAAGCACGTGGTGTTCTGACTTCATCTCATTGTGTCAAATGTACTGTAAGCACATGGTGTTCTGACTTCATCTCAGACTGTCAAATGTACTGTGAGCACCTGGTGTTCTAACCTCATATGAGACTGAGATGTACTGTAAGCACGTGGTGTTCTGATCTCATCTCAGACTGTCAAATGTACTGTAAGCACGTGGTGTTCTGACTTCATCTCATTGTGTCAAATGTACTGTAAGCACATGGTGTTCTGACTTCATCTCAGACTGTCAAATGTACTGTGAGCACCTGGTGTTCTAACCTCATATGAGACTGAGATGTACTGTAAGCACGTGGTGTTCTGATCTCATCTCAGACTGTCAAATGTACTGTAAGCATCTGGTGTTCTGACTTCATCTCAGACTGTCAAATGTACTGTAAGCATCTGGTGTTCTGACTTCATCTCAGACTGTCAAATGTACTGTAAGCACGCTGGTGTTCTGACTTCATCTCAGACTGTCAAATGTACTGTAAGCACCTGGTGTTCTGACTTCATCTCAGACTGTCAAATGTACTGTAAGCACATGGTGTTCTGACTTCATCTCAGACTGTCAAATGTACTGTAAGCACCTGGTGTTCTGACTTCATCTCAGACTGTCAAATGTACTGTAAGCACCTGGTGTTCTGACTTCATCTCAGTGTGTCACATGTACTGTAAGCACATGGTGTTCTGACTTCATCTCAGACTGTCAAATGTACTGTAAGCACCTGGTGTTCTGATCTCATCTCAGACTGTCAAATGTACTGCAAGCACCTGGTGTTCTGACTTCATCTCAGACTGTCAAATGTACTGTAAGCACGTGGTGTTCTGACTTCATCTCAGTGTGTCAAATGTACTGTAAGCACATGGTGTTCTGACTTCATCTCAGACTGTCAAATGTACTGTAAGCACCTGTGTTCTGACTTGTGTGTCTGACTTCATCTCAGACTGTCAAATGTACTGTAAGCACCTGGTGTTCTGACTTCATCTCAGACTGTCAAATGTACTGTAAGCACATGGTGTTCTGACTTCATCTCAGACTGTCAAATGTACTGTGAGCACCTGGTGTTCTGACTTCATCTCAGACTGTCAAATGTACTGCAAGCACGTGGTGTTCTGACTTCATCTCAGTGTGTCACATGTACTGTAAGCACATGGTGTTCTGACTTCATCTCAGACTGTCAAATGTACTGTGAGCACCTGGTGTTCTGATTTCATCTCAGACTGTCAAATGTACTGTGAGCACCTGGTGTTCTGACTTCATCTCATTGTGTCAAATGTACTGCAAGCACCTGGTGTTCTGACTTCATCTCAGTGTGTCAAATGTACTGCAAGCACCTGGTGTTCTGACTTCATCTCAGACTGTCAAATGTACTGTGAGCACCTGGTGTTCTGACTTCATCTCAGACTGTCAAATGTAATGTAAGCACATGGTGTTCCGATATCATCTCAGAGTGTCGGATGTACTGTAAGCACCTGGTGTTCAGAGCCCACACAACTCCTGACAGTGTTCTGAAACTCCTTGCAGCACATGCCTCTCAAATGATACAACTTCATGTCCAATCCCCATAGACTACCCCACCCAGCTCCTGACAGTGTTCTGAATGATAAGTTCTGTAATGTACCCTGAGACTGCTCTCATACACAAACTCCTTGCAGCACATGTCACACTGAAACGGCTTGATGTTTGCATGACTGTTCATGTGAGCAATATAATGCTGCTTGTGCAGGAACTTCTTGTGGCAGACGTCACAACTGTACCGCGTCCGGGCCTCATGCTTGAAGCGGATGTGTTGACGCAGGTTGGAGCGGGAGGTGTAGGCGGAGCCACAAATGGTGCAGGTGTGGCGCCTGGCTGGGGTAGACTGGGAGAACATCCGTAGCTGGTCACCGTCCTGCAAGTGAGAGTCGATGCCTGCCACATTGGAACCTGAAAATTGAACAATTCACTTTTAAATGATCTTCATAAAATATATATATATATTTAAGGAATGCTTGTACAGAAAATATATGTGTATATTCTGAAATGACATACACTATGAGTTAGACTTTTTGTAATATTTGGCAAAGTAGCCACAAAAATCAAAGTTTGTTCTTGTAAATGTGACCAATTGATGTCATATCTTATTATTCTAAAGAATCAATCAAGTTATTTGGTAATTCAGGCCACATAGCCTATGGTACAGTTGTAAAATAAAAGTATATTTAGGTCACATATCCAGAGTGTTACATCGCTGTCAGTCACATTTTGAATGACTTGCATAAATATACAGCTATCAAGCATAGAACATTAACATCACTGGAGTAAAGGTCACATGCAACGTAAAACACAACTTTGCAGATTCTGATACCCTTCGGTACGGACTTACAGTAACAAATTATCAAAAATGCCAGTTCAACTTATGAAGTTGTAAAATTAACGCGATGACCCCCTGCAAAATCGGTGTTCAAATGATTCACTAAATTCACCCCAGCTGGGGTGAAAAGTGGTTCAACAGCTGTGCTGCACTGCACTGCACTGTGCTGGCGCAATGCACACTGAATAGGTTTGCGCAGCATGGCAGCGACATTTCAAGACGGAAAACCTTCGCTGGCGGTGAATACTCAGAGTAGGCTTTGATGTGAGCTATTTTTCAAATGTTTTGTTCATATTTCACAGGCGCGAGCTTTATATATGTTCTGACAGTAGATTACCAATTTAACTGTTAATATAATTACATTTGACTATTTCACCACACGTTCTTCTTACGAGTCACTTTTTCAGTTCGATACTTAACAGCAACGTCATTATTTAGCATTGTCAGAATGTCTAACTGTGATATTCGATTCGTTTATTACGGTTATCTGTACAGATAATTGGTACAATGACATCGGTGTTGGTATTGGTACAGGTTTGCAGACATGGTGGCAGTGGAATAGAGGTAAAGGTGAAGGTAAAGGAGGATGTACAATTACTGTTTACTAATTAATTTCTTTTCTTCATAAACGAGCCTTATATAAATATTTCCCTAAATTACACAACGCTTTAACATTAATAGTGCAAAGTAGTTGAATAAGTTTAAATACCGATGGACATTTTAATATAAAGTGTAGTTCATCTTCAATATCATCTTTACACATTTGACATTTTCGATTTACAAGATTTATGTTTTCATACCTACCAGATTCTATTGCTAAATTATGGGTACTGAGTCTGAATTTAGATAAGCACTTCCTATAAAGATATGGAATAGATTTACATAAATAATATTGAAGTGTACACTGGTTAATAATATTTTTATAAATTACACATTTCAATGAGTTGGACAGCTGACTAAAGATTCACTGAATAGCCTGGCCATTTTTTCTTTGTTTTATAGCTATTAGATACAATGTAATCTAGTGGTAATTCCTGCCTTAACCACATTTCACTTAATCCAATATTCGACAAAATACATTTCACCTGATATGCCACGGGTCTCCACTTCCTCATACAAATACTCATAACAACCCCGTAAAATGCTATTTTCAGACACCAGAAGCTTACACCAATATTTAATCATGCTATATTGCCTTTTAAATGCGAGCGGATAACGAACGGTCTAATTCGGAACAAACCATGGAATTACATGTTGATTTCTGAACTCCTAATAACCTTTTACAAAACTCCAAATGCAACCTTTCAATGTTTACGCCTTTGTCATATACCCATATAGATGTGCCTCTGTCACAGACAAAACTCAATGTCTGTTTTATTGACACCTATGTGTCTGCCTGCCTGTCTGCTAATGACAATATGCAATACAAAACTTTGATCACTGACCACATGAAATTTGAACTTAACACCTATCAGGCTATATACCATAAACAAAACGCAGTGATTTATGGCTCGTGCATCCGAGTTCTATCTCTGTCACATTATGTAATTAATTAACACAGACAGGCAGGTGTGACACTTGTACACATGACATGTTATGATGTCTGTTGATTTCAAAATGTTACACAAAAATTGAGCATGTATTTACAAAACGCAACATCTCTATACGCACACAAAGTGCCCTGAGGGTATCAGCAAATGAACCAGCCAATGAAAGTCTTCGTTACCCGTATCCCGGGTACACTTAAGAGGGAAGTAAACCTGCTCTGACTGGGTTCGTCATCCTGTATGCTTCATTTCATGAGTGATCCCAAGTACACTGACTGACTGACTGACTGAGTTTAGTTTTCGCGCTTTTAGCAATATTCCAGCAATATTACGCTGTAACGAGGTAAGACACCAGAAATGGGCTTAACACATTGTGCCCATTTGTCTTCTAAAATGAAGGTCACAGTTTTACACACCCGGTGGCATATTTAACGCTTTGACCACTAGTTGTGAAGTGATATTCGAAATCCCAAGTACAAAATATTGCACTTTTGACTTGCGACAGTTATTCTTATAAGACATTTTTATTTGATATTTCATAATCAGCAATGTATATTATATGTCATGAATCATAGTGACAATTGTGTTTTAATTATGTTTGTATCTGGAGCTGCAATATAACCACAGACAAACCCATTTATTCATTAACCTGTGCTGTGCTGTCTCCATCCATTCTCGAACACCTGGCTGTCCAATATTCTCTGCACTCCTCCTTAGTGACAAACAGTGAACTGTCTCAATATGTTTAATGATAGTTTGTTAAACAACTTTTTATTTTTAGGACAAAATTCTGCACAAACCTCACAGAGTGGGTATGATGTTTTGATTCAGCAGATCAGCAATATCATTGAGTATTTTATGTTTATTGGTTTTCAGTGTAGATGTGGGGAATCAATTCATCGGCGTCCGCTGCATAGAGCTCTGGTTACAAACAGACTATAAGCAAGGATGAGCTTGAAGGAATCCTTGAATGGGTGACCCTGTTTGGCATCTTGACTCCTGAGAGTTTCTAGGACATCAGTAATGCCCCACAACGAAACACATGGAATGCATTTGGTCTCACCTTAGGCAAGTGAGTTTGTTCAAAATTGCCTAAAAATTCACCCAACAGAAAAATGGGTACCCGGTGGGATAAGTCATGTGACTATAACCCTCTAGCGCCTCACAGGCAGCTTAGGTTATCCGGGGTAATAATAATCAGATTGTAACCAAAGTTGTAGCGCTTTGAGCATGCGCTAGTGCATGGAGTCTATTGCTCTACAAATACACTGTATTATTATTATTATAAGTGAATGCTACCCCAAAGCCCTGAATCTGGGAGGAAGGGTGGGTGAAACTGGTGAGACCTGTTAAGCAGTTGGGTGAAACCACCTGGTGTGGTGAAACAGGATATAAAGTTGTGTTTAGGATTATACAGCAAGATGACTGACTGAGTTTGGTTTTATGCCGCTTTTAGCAATATCAAGGCTGGGGACACCAGAAATGGGCTTCACACATTGTACCCATGTGGGGATTCAAACCCGGGTCTTCGGCGTGACGAGCCAAAGCTTTAACCACTAGGCTACCCCACCGCCCCTACAGCAAGATGAATGTGTGTATGTGTGTGTTTGAACTTATCCAGACTCGAGCTGATTTGACAGTGCCGGCCTTCTGAGATACCATGCTTCAGTTTAACATGGATTCCCCACTGACACATTGTAATGACCCGGAACCAGCCAGTCCATATTTCATCCCTGTAATGCTGAGTGCCAGCCAAGGTTACAGAACTGATGTCTCCTGGCATGATGTTGCCTGGGGATCCAACCATTGTTCTGCCACTCCATCCACAGGGCCACTAACTGTGTGAGAGTTATGTGAGAACTGAGAGTCATGTGAGAACTGTGCGAGGGTCACGTGAGAACTGAGAGTCATGTGACAACTGTGTGAGAGTTATGTGAAAACTGAGAGTCATGTGACAACTGTGTGAGAGTTATGTGAGAACTGTGTGACAGTTATGTGAGAAATGAGAGTCATGTGACAACTGTGTTAGAGTTATGTGAGATCTGAGAGTCATGTGACAACTGTGTGAGAGTTATGTGAGAACTGAGAGTCATGTGACAACTGTGTTAGAGTTATGTGAGATCTGAGAGTCATGTGACAACTGTGTGAGAGTTGTGTCAGAATTATGAGCAGGTCATGTGTGAACTGAGTCATGTGACAACTGTGTGAGAGTTATGTGAGAACTGAGAGTCATGTGACAACAGTGTGAGAGTTATGTGTGAACTGAGTCATGTGACAACTGTGTGAGAGTTATGTGAGAACTGAGAGTCATGTGACAACTGTGTTAGAGTTATGTGAGAACTGAGAGTCATGTGACAACTGTGTTAGAGTTATGTGAGAACTGAGAGTCATGTGACAACTGTGTTAGAGTTATGTGAGAACTGAGAGTCATGTGACAACTGTGTTAGAGTTATGTGAGATCTGAGAGTCATGTGACAACTGTGTTAGAGTTATGTGAGAACTGAGAGTCATGTGACAACTGTGTAAGAGTTGTGTCAGAATTATGAGCAGGTCATGTGTGAACTGAGTCATGTGACAACTGTGTGAGAGTTATGTGAGAACTGAGAGTCATGTGACAACTGTGTGAGAGTTATGTGAGAACTACATGAGAGTCATGTGCGAATTGTGTGGGAGTAATGTGAGAAAGTCATGTGAGAACCAGGACGTGAGAACTGGGAGTAATGTGAGAACCATGTGAGAACTGCATGAGAGTCATATGATAATTGTGTGAGTGAGAGCCATGTGAGAAGTGAGTCATGTGATAATTGTGTGAGTGAGAGTCATGTGAGAAGTGAGAGCCATGTGAGAAGTGAGAGTCATGTGATAATTGTGTGAGTGAGAGTCATGTGAGAAGTGAGAGTCATATGATAACTGTGTGAGTGAGAGTCATGTGAGAAGTGAGAGTCATGTGATAATTGTGTGAGTGAGAGTCATGTGAGAAGTGAGAGTCATATGATAACTGTGTGAGTGAGAGTCATGTGAGAAGTGAGAGTCATGTGATAATTGTGTGAGTGAGAGCCATGTGAGAAGTGAGAGTCATGTGATAATTGTGTGAGTGAGAGCCATGTGAGAAGTGAGAGTCATGTGAGAAGTGAGATTCATGTGAGAAATGAGAGTCATGTGAGAAGTGAGAGTCATGTGATAATCCTGTGAGATATGTGTGGATCCAGAAAACACAAACAAGAAAATAAACACCTCAAGAAAATTGAAACATACAAATAAAAAACAAAACTGTTTCATATAAAAACCTTTATTGTGTATCTACATATGTGTGATTTGTTTTGCAGCATACATTTAACATAAAAAGGATTCTTCCCAATTACTAACATCATGACAATGAATAGTTTCAAAGGAAACAGTATCTGGATCCTTTGTCATGATCACATGAATAATACTTTCTTGAAGTCAGATATTAATCCACAGTAATGAGAAATAGGCTGTCAATCATGGATGAAATAAAGCGATATCTCTCACCAAGAAGGAAGCAATATTTGGACTAAAATGTGAAAATTGAACAATAATCATGATTCCTTCACAATCATTTCTGCTTTCTAAACTGAACATACATCAATAAACATGAACTGTCAGAATGATAGAAGGCTGCTTGAGAAATGTATAGCTTTTGAAAATTGAAAAAACTATTTAAATATGTGTTTTAGATAAAACTGATTCTTTTAAGTTACAGAATAGAACTAATAACAGCTTGTTAGGAACAAAACAGGTTCTGGCTAAAATCATCAAATATTACATATATCAGGAAACATATTCTGTTTGTGTCTCATGTCGAGAACAATTTATTTTCTTGTTTGATTTAATCTAAGGATTGTTTACCAAAAAATTAAAGAGTCTTAAAATTCTGCTTTTGACTAAAAATATGCATCTTAGCATTGTTTTGTCTGTGTTTGAGATTGCTGATCAGATTACCATCTTTGTCTAGTTTGGCCTCATATCTCTTGGCACAAAGACATGGAAAATCTGTAAAACAACAGAAAACAGTAGAGATTTGTCCTGATTGTCTTTAAGCATTATTTTGCAGCCTCCCAAAAACCCAAGATGACACAAAACTAGTATGTACAAAGACTTTTTGCATGACCAATGTGCAAAGATTACAAACTTAAGGATAGCTTGTGTCTGCACTTCGACTTTTGCGTAACACAAACAGTTTAGCAGTGGCTACATTCAGGCATAAAACTGGGGATTATTCTGCAGAAACATATAACAGATTATATACAGAAACACAATAAAACCCATCATCAACTTGAACTCAGAATTTGAAAAGTTTTGTTTTGGTGCTCCAGTTCATCTCTAAACCCAGCAAGTAAGTTTTGAAACCATACAACATTGTCATACTTGATGATCTCATGCCAAAATACTCACAACAATCTGATATGATTTTTGTAGCCATTTCGCTATTATAAAATTATATTTTAAATATATTTATCTGTAAATAAAGCTAAAAAAAAGCTAAAGCAGCCATGACATATATGAAACCATGTCGCATATATGTCCTTGTAAATGGCATTATAGAGAAACAGAAAAGTTTTACACCGACTCGCTTTTTTGTTGGAGAATTTATGTTTTAGTCAGAAAGTGAAACATCTCAAAGTCGAGTGGGTGAGTTTGTTTTAAGCTGTAAAATAATATTTGAGCAGTGGTCACAAGAAATGGGCTTCACACATTGTGGGGACTAGAACCTGGGTCTTCAGCATGGCAAGTGAACGCTTTAACCACTTGGCTATCCAAGTGCCCTATCAAAATGGAACAAGTGAAGGATATTGCATTCAAACAATTTTATGAATTTTTCTTGTTTCTGAGGACGGTTGCTATGGGAACCTGACACAGAGAGCTACCAGCAGCCATAATGTACAGCAATCTTTGCATCAACAGACATCAACCTGGTCGGTTCTAGTTTACAGTCAGATGTATAAGACTTGGTGGTAAATGTGAACAAAACATAATGTACAGCAATCTTTGCATCAACAGACATCAACCTGGTCGGTTCTACTTTACAGTCAGATGTATAAGACTTGGTGGTGAATGTGAACAAAACATAATGTACAGCAATCTTTGCATCAACAGACATCAACCTGGTTGGTTCTAGTTTACAGTCAGATGTATAAGACTTGGAGGTAAATGTGAACAAAACATAATGTACAGCAATCTTTGCATCAACAGACATCAACCTGGTCGGTCCTAGTTTACAGCCCGATATATAGGACATGGTGGTAAATGTGAACCAATTATCACACACACAAGACCAAGAATCAACAGATCAATTGCAACACCAGTCCATTCACCCATATCAGTTGTTCTAGTTTACAGCCCGATATATAGGACATGGTGGTAAATGTGAACCAATTATCACACACACAAGACCAAGAATCAACAGATCAATTGCAACACTGGTCCATTCACCCATATCAGTTGTTCTAGTTTACAGCCCGATATATAGGACATGGTGGTAAATGTGAACCAATTATCACACACACAAGACCAAGAATCAACAGATCAATTGCAACACCAGTCCATTCACCCATATCAGTTGTTCTAGTTTACAGCCCGATATATAGGACATGGTGGTAAATGTGAACCAATTATCACACACACAAGACCAAGAATCAACAGATCAATTGCAACACTGGTCCATTCACCCATATCAGTTGTTCTAGTTTACAGCCCGATATATAGGACATGGTGGTAAATGTGAACCAATTATCACACACACAAGACCAAGAATCAACAGATCAATTGCAACACCAGTCCATTCACCCATATCAGTTGTTCTAGTTTACAGTCAGATATATAGGACATGGTGGTAAATATGAACCAATTATCACACACACAAGACCAAGAATCAACAGATCAATTGCAACACTGGTCCATTCACCCATATCAGTTGTTCTAGTTTACAGCCCGATATATAGGACATGGTGGTAAATGTGAACCAATTATCACACACACAAGACCAAGAATCAACAGATCAATTGCAACACCAGTCCATTCACCCATATCAGTTGTTCTAGTTTACAGCCCGATATATAGGACATGGTGGTAAATGTGAACCAATTATCACACACACAAGACCAAGAATCAACAGATCAATTGCAACACCAGTCCATTCACCCATATCAGTTGTTCTAGTTTACAGCCCGATATATAGGACATGGTGGTAAATGTGAACCAATTATCACACACACAAGACCAAGAATCAACAGATCAATTGCAACACTGGTCCATTCACCCATATCAGTTGTTCTAGTTTACAGCCCGATATATAGGACATGGTGGTAAATGTGAACCAATTATCACACACACAAGACCAAGAATCAACAGATCAATTGCAACACCAGTCCATTCACCCATATCAGTTGTTCTAGTTTACAGCCCTGATATATAGGACATGGTGGTAAATGTGAACCAATTATCACACACACAAGACCAAGAATCAACAGATCAATTGCAACACTGGTCCATTCACCCATATCAGTTGTTCTAGTTTACAGCCCGATATATAGGACATGGTGGTAAATGTGAACCAGTTATCACACACACAAGACCAAGAATCAACAGATCAATTGCAACACCAGTCCATTCACTCATATCAGTTGTTCTAGTTTACAGTCAGATATATAGGACATGGTGGTAAATATGAACCAATTATCACACACACAAGACCAAGAATCAACAGATCAATTGCAACACTGGTCCATTCACCCATATCAGTTGTTCTAGTTTACAGTCCGATATATAGGACATGGTGGTAAATGTGAACCAATTATCACACACACAAGACCAAGAATCAACAGATCAATTGCAACACCAGTCCATTCACCCATATCAGTTGTTCTAGTTTACAGCCCGATATATAGGACATGGTGGTAAATGTGAACCAATTATCACACACACAAGACCAAGAATCAACAGATCAATTGCAACACCAGTCCATTCACCCATATCAGTTGTTCTAGTTTACAGCCCGATATATAGGACATGGTGGTAAATGTGAACCAATTATCACACACACAAGACCAAGAATCAACAGATCAATTGCAACACCAGTCCATTCACCCATATCAGTTGTTCTAGTTTACAGCCCGATATATAGGACATGGTGGTAAATGTGAACCAATTATCACACACAAGACCAAGAATCAACAGATCAATTGCAACACCAGTCCATTCACCCATATCAGTTGTTCTAGTTTACAGCCCGATATATAGGACATGGTGGTAAATGTGAACCAATTATCACACACACAAGACCAAGAATCAACAGATCAATTGCAACACCAGTCCATTCACTCATATCAGTTGTTCTAGTTTACAGTCAGATATATAGGACATGGTGGTAAATATGAACCAATTATCACACACACAAGACCAAGAATCAACAGATCAATTGCAACACTGGTCCATTCACCCATATCAGTTGTTCTAGTTTACAGCCCGATATATAGGACATGGTGGTAAATGTGAACCAATTATCACACACACAAGACCAAGAATCAACAGATCAATTGCAACACCAGTCCATTCACCCATATCAGTTGTTCTAGTTTACAGCCCGATATATAGGACATGGTGGTAAATGTGAACCAATTATCACACACACAAGACCAAGAATCAACAGATCAATTGCAACACCAGTCCATTCACCCATATCAGTTGTTCTAGTTTACAGCCCGATATATAGGACATGGTGGTAAATGTGAACCAATTATCACACACACAAGACCAAGAATCAACAGATCAATTGCAACACCAGTCCATTCACCCATATCAGTTGTTCTAGTTTACAGCCCGATATATAGGACATGGTGGTAAATGTGAACCAATTATCACACACACAAGACCAAGAATCAACAGATCAATTGCAACACCAGTCCATTCACCCATATCAGTTGTTCTAGTTTACAGCCCGATATATAGGACATGGTGGTAAATGTGAACCAATTATCACACACACAAGACCAAGAATCAACAGATCAATTGCAACACCAGTCCATTCACCCATATCAGTTGTTCTAGTTTACAGCCCGATATATAGGACATGGTGGTAAATGTGAACCAATTATCACACACACAAGACCAAGAATCAACAGATCAATTGCAACACTGGTCCATTCACTCATATCAGTTGTTCTAGTTTACAGCCCGATATATAGGACATGGTGGTAAATGTGAACCAATTATCACACACACAAGACCAAGAATCAACAGATCAATTGCAACACTGATCCATTCACTCATATCAGTTGTTCTAGTTTACAGCCCGATATATAGGACATGGTGGTAAATGTGAACCAATTATCACACACACAAGACCAAGAATCAACAGATCAATTGCAACACTGGTCCATTCACCCATATCAGTTGTTCTAGTTTACAGCCCGATATATAGGACATGGTGGTAAATGTGAACCAATTATCACACACACAAGACCAAGAATCAACAGATCAATTGCAACACCAGTCCATTCACCCATATCAGTTGTTCTAGTTTACAGCCCGATATATAGGACATGGTGGTAAATGTGAACCAATTATCACACACACAAGACCAAGAATCAACAGATCAATTGCAACACCAGTCCATTCACCCATATCAGTTGATCTAGTTTACAGTCAGATATATAGGATGTGGTGGTAAATGTGAACCAATTATCACACACACAAGACCAAGAATCAACAGATCAATTGCAACACTGGTCCATTCACTCATATCAGTTGTTCTAGTTTACAGTCAGATATATAGGACATGGTGGTAAATGTGAACCATTTATCACACAAATGAACAATATCAGTGTATGAAATAAGGCCTGTCCGACCGCCCGAGATGGGCTACATTTCTGACATACTGTCTCAATTTACAGCCAGCCAGCCTGATTGTCTGGTAAAAACTGTAGATGTTTCATACATCTGAGTAAATTCACCAGATCTTGGTGTCTGGTCTGGTTATATCCATTTTGGGCTGGTAACAACTTTTTGAAGTTGCCAGCCCTGATGTGTGCCTGGTATTTTTTGGCTTATTTCATACACTGCCAATATCAACACTGGTCCATCCAGTCATATCTGTTGGTCTTGTTTAGAGCCCGATATATCAGACATGGTGGTAAATGTGAACCAGTAATCCCACACCTTAACACCAACAGATCAATGTCCGAACTGGTCCATCCAGTCATATCAGTTGTTCTTGTTTAGAGCCCGATATATCGGACATGGTGGTAAATGTGAACCAGTCATCCCACACCTTAACACCAACAGATCAATGTCCGAACTGGTCCATCCAGTCATATCAGTTGTTCTTGTTTAGAGCCCGATATATCGACATGGTGGTAAATGTGAACCAGTAATCCCACACCTTAACACCAACAGATCAATGTCCTAACTGGTCCATCCAGTCATATCAGTTGTTCTTGTTTAGAGCCCGATATATCGGACATGGTGGTAAATGTGAACCAGTCATCCCACACCTTAACACCAACAGATCAATGTCCGAACTGGTCCATCCAGTCATATCAGTTGTTCTTGTTTAGAGCCCGATATATCGGACATGGTGGTTAATGTGAACCAGTCATCCCACACCTTAACACCAACAGATCAATGTCCGAACTGGTCCATCCAGTCATATCAGTTGTTCTTGTTTAGAGCCCGATATATCGGACATGGTGGTAAATGTGAACCAGTCATCCCACACCTTAACACCAACAGATCAATGTCCGAACTGGTCCATCCAGTCATATCAGTTGTTCTTGTTTAGAGCCCGATATATCGGACATGGTGGTAAATGTGAACCAGTCATCCCACACCTTAACACCAACAGATCAATGTCCGAACTGGTCCATCCAGTCATATCAGTTGTTCTTGTTTAGAGCCCGATATATCAGACATGGTGGTAAATGTGAACCAGTCATCCCACACCTTAACACCAACAGATCAATGTCCGAACTGGTCCATCCAGTCATATCAGTTGTTCTTGTTTAGAGCCCGATATATCGGACATGGTGGTAAATGTGAACCAGTCATCCCACACCTTAACACCAACAGATCAATGTCCGAACTAGTCCATCCAGTCATATCAGTTGTTCTTGTTTAGAGCCTGATATATTGGACATGTCACCCTATGTCTGAGGATGCTTGGTTTATACTTGTAAGTCCGCCCACAGATGCAAGTGTGAACGATCTTGTCGTGGACAGCTGTCTTGTGGAAACTGAGAGTGGTGTGACTTGAGAACGTCTGCTCACACTGACGACACTTGTAAAGACCTTTCCCCATCTTTCTTGCGGACCTGGGTGAGTGGCCCGTGTTTCTGGGTTTGGATGCGGGACTGGTACCAAGGTTACGATAGAAGCTCTGAAGGAAGTCGAAAGGCCCAGCCTCACCGGCTACAAGGTGCCCCTGAACTCCTCCCAGAAACTGCTGTCCTTGAGACTGACTGAAAGCATCTGAACTTGCGTCACCTGAAAGCAACAAAAATGTCATTCAATTTCAGTCAGTCTCCCGCTAAGGCAGGTCCAATTCTTTTTTTTGAGGAATCAAAATATTTTCAACATCTACATATAAAGGCAACAAAACCTGTTCTATATTCCTAAGAAATGTCTGTCAAAAGCAGAGACAACTGTAGAATTTTGACTTTATCATGAGCGTGTGTTAATGAATCAGCATCAAATAGCAATGGTAATGTGTGAAAAGGTGATTGTATCCTGCCCCACCAGTGTCAACATCACAAACACATGCAAAGGCATGACAATATGTGAGTTTTGGTAGCATGACAGATTGTCAATAATCAGATCTGGTCTACAGTAATTATTTTGTATGATGACACAATCAACTAGTCCATGTTGTTTTTAGTCCTTGTGATAAGCATCTGTGGCCCAGCATGTTGAGATGTTTCAGTATTTGGGGATCAGAAAATGGGTGCTATAATGATCACATGCTTGGACATTTTAACATTTCAGACATTAGGCTAATGCTGTCAGTCCATTAGGAATATAGATTCCACGATCGGAGAGACTGGGTTAGTATGGTGTGTCATTAGGGTTAATATAAATTGGTATCGGGAGCTATCAATTTGTAAATGGGACTATTTGGGGTTTTTGAACAGTGACTAATTACAGATGCCACAAGAATGTTCCTTTTCTCAGTATTTATTTGTAAATTGGATTTGTAAACCAACTCTGGAAATGCCGAAAATATGTTTCATATGGTGACCTGGAATGTGTGATGATGTCTGGATGAGGCAAACCACTGAACAGGTGCTTGATGACATGCCAGGCCCGAACTCACAGTTGACCTTCCAGGCGGTCACTCATCCACATTGTGGACAACCAGTCTGCATTAAAACCTTGTGAAGATCACTTTGTGGAGAAGTGCCTCAGCTTCTATACAACAAGCAGGGTCATAGGGGAGCACTTTCTATGGACAGTCAACTTCTTTATTGCAATAGTCTCACTACTACTTGTCCAAGAAAGAGTACAACACCATCGCCAGACCAAGGTCATCGTCTTCAACAGCATAGTTCAACAACAAGAGCATGCATCACTTTATGGACAAGCGGGATATATGCAGTATACCCTGGTTATAATACCACAGTTTGTCCAGGAGATAATATGGCATTATATCCAGGGTGGCATTATAACCAGGTAGGTCCTCAACAGGATGGTTGGTGGTACAACATTGTCTATGCAATCAACATACTACTCCATAGAAATGAAGGAACATCAGCTTCTTTCACAAAACTCTAGTTAATTTGTCATGGAATGAGATTTTTACATGACTATCGTTAATCTGTTAAGGCCATGCCATGGCAGATTACTTTATTTATAGGAAAAACTGGATGTTCTCTTAACTTCTTTTGCGTTGTATAACTTTCACCTTTCATTAACACATTTATCTTTCATCATGAGGGATCTCCCCTTACCTGAGCAACACGTGACAGAGACGATGTTGCACACAGACTGACATCAATACAAACATATTGAAGTACTGGCAGTAACTGAAGGTGCATGTACTACTAACACAACAACTTCTGCTGTTAGAAGAGGATCGTTACATGATGGGATCATCACCTGGCATCTCGAAGTGACTCAGCATTATGGGAGTTGGTTTCACTACTGTCAATAATATTTCTGTACAATCATTATGCTTCAGCTTCATGTTGGAGAAAACCTTGCTTTTCCACATTCACCTTTTTGGCAAAACCTATCTGCTGACAAACCATCAAATACAATCAAAGCAAATAGGGGATTTGAACCCATGATAGCTGTCTGGCATGCCTAAGGGAGGCAACTCTGCATATTAAGTTGCATATTGTGGCAAAATAGAGTGAGTAAGTGAGTGAGTTTAGTTTTGCACTGCTTTTTAGCAATATTCCAGCAATATCACGCCAGGGGACACCAGAAATGGGTGTGTGGCAAAATAGAGGACTAGCCACTAACAAATAGACCCTAAATATGATCAACAGCTGGGTACAGGTACAAACAAATAATCTGGGTAATGAGAAGCATTATTTTTGTTTTTGTTAAACCCTGATGTGAACTGTAAGTATAATATTTTCATAATCATATATACATTGTACACATGACGCTGGTGTTCAGTGATCCAGGCTTGTCATCACATCCTAATTGTGTAGATTGATGCTCATGCTGTCGATCACTGGATTGTCTCCCCCAGGCTCCAGTATTTATACCATTAAGTCACAAAGCTGTAATATTGTTGGGTCAGGTATTAACAAACACAGCAGACCTTGTTTAGGTCAGCAGACGTGGAAATGAACAGTACGTTAAATAGAAAACATGACTGACTGACTGACTGAGTTTGGTTTTACGCCGCTTTTAGCAATATTCCAGCAACATCACGGCGGGGGACACCAGAAATGGGCTTCACACATTGTACCCATGTGGGGATTCGAACCCGGGTCTTCGGCATGACGAGCCAACGCCACTAGGCTATCCCACCGCCCCAGAAAACATGATGTCTGACATCATTGGTTAAGTTGGTTGGTTGGTTTGTTGTTTAACGCCGCATTCAGCAATATTCCAGCTATATGGCAGCGGTCTGCAAATAATCGAGTCTGGACCAGACAATAAAATGATCAACATCATGAGCATCGTTCGTCGCAACTGGGATACGATGACACACTGGTTAAGAACATACAAATATTGAATTGTTTCATTGAATTTTTTTCAGATCATACATCAACGGAATACTATCACATTTGGCCATTTGTGTGTAATGTTGACATCAGTATTCTCCATACTGTTTGTGAATACATTTTATTTTTTTACATCTGTCCAATGAAGACATTGACTTAAAAGTCATCACTGAGTGCCAAAAAAAGGCTTCCCGAGCTCATGTATCACATGACACAGACATGTCAAAATGGAATTCTTTACAAAAAAATAATTACAGTCTGTAAAAATCTCAAATATACTGAAAGAAACAATAAAGGAACACAGGAAAATTCTAGCATTCCTTTCATGTTTTCCAGTTTTCATCCCCCAGCTTTGAATAGCGCTGTGGGAAGAAATCTGAGAATAAATAAAGGAACACTGCCATGAAGTGGTGTTCCCTTATTTGTTTCCCTCAGTATATATACAAATGATTGAGTAGAGTTTGGCCTAATGCCAATTTGAATAGAACCAAATTTACATTAGGGTCTGTCATGTGGAGGAAATTCCGTTCTCAGATGTTTAATCATCCTGGTGGGGCATAGGCCACCAAAATGGAACTGAAATACCAAGGTCTGGAAATAAATTAGGACCGCAGCACCCATGGCATAAATCATTTTACACAAACAGGTTCCTCAGTTCTTGAAACCATTTTTGTTACATAAACAGTGATCGTATTTAATCCTTTTCAGAAGAGTGAGTGAGTGAGTGACTGAGTGAGTGAGTGAGTGAGTTGGGTTTAATGCCACTCAGATCAGTATTCCATTCATATCACGACTTTATGTGGATGGAAAGCACAAAGTGAGGCAGATTTTAGTCATCAACTTTGGTGAAACCCACAATGTTGGTGATGACGGACATAGGAACATAAAAGAAAGCGATCCTGAATTTGTTCATAGGTTCCTGGCGTAGGATGTGGTTCAGCATCTCCTAGTCAAGGGCTGTGGTTAAGAAACCAGCATCTCCTTTGTAAGGACTGACTTGTCACATAGGTGTCAGACATTTAACTGATAGACTGCCATTGATAGCCACTTCCTGTTTGTACAGAAACCAGACATTTAACTCATCAGACATTTAATAGTTACTCCTTTGTAATCAGACATTTGACTTGATAGTTGTCATAGGTGTCAGACATTTAACACTGATAG